AATTTACTATTTATACAAGTTACTATTACTACATATATGATTTCTTTGTCTTAAAGTTTATTATTTTTATTTTTAAAAACTATTATTGCTATTTTATAGATATTAAGTCTAATAAGTACTAGTAAAATTTTCAATTATATAAATACACCTAATATGCTAATTAAACAAACGATTAAACAAGTTAAATAAATAATTCTGAAGCACTATACTTTTTTACTTAATTTAAAACTAATGAATATGTTAATTTCATATCTATGAGTTACTCAATTTTTTTTTTTTATAATTTGCATATAATACTTAAATTTAGTTTGACAATGCTATTCATTGTTATTCTATAATTGTAGTTTTTAGAAATGTTATATTGTACTACCATGAAAAGCATTTCCACGAAAAGTATTTTAGTGTTTAATAATTATATTTTAAAAAAATTACTTATTGTAAAATTACTTAATTAAATATATTATTATTTAAAATTAAATTAATTAATAATTTAATATATAACGTATAAAAAAGATTTGAAAATTCTATTAAATTATTTAAAAAATCTATTAATTTTGGATAAGATGATTTTTATATTTTTATTAAAAAAATAATTTATTAAATGCATAAATTAAAAAAAATTCTATAAATATATTAAGAAATTCTATAAATAACTTTGTCAAAACAAATTTTTGGTAGATAAGATACTTACAAATAACAGTTATATTAATTTCAAGTGCCGACCCTTAAATAGATCTGGGCCATCTGGCTCTGGCCTAACAGGCAATGCGCGGGACCGTACAGAAGGCAATGTTGAGAACCAACCCCAAAAAAAAAAAAAAGGAAGAAAAAAAAGTTAAATGTTAATTTTGTTCCTCAACTTTAAGATTTTACCTAAATTTCATTTTTTCACTTTTTTATACATTTTTTTGTCCTTTAACTATGAAAACTGCTTTTTAAGTTTTTCATCATTTAATTTATAAATTTATTTGAATTTACATATTTTTAACATTTTAACTTTTAATATATGTATATTTTTCATTCTTTAATTTAAAATAATAATTAAAAATATATAAATTCAGATAAATTTAATAAATTAATCGATAAAAAAATAAAAAAAATACATTTTTCATAAATAAAAATAAAAAAATGTATAAAAACGTTGAAGAATGAAAATTATACCAACCTTAAAGTTAGAAGACAAAAATTAACATTTAACCAAAAAGTAGCGGTGAAAATTACGAAAAGGAGAAACTTTACTTAGATCCCCAAACTCACCTTCAATCTGCAAACCCTAGACCTGTTTGATGCAATGGCGCAACTTGAAGAAATAGATGAACCCAAGTCCAAGAACAAGAAGAGGAATCATGGGTCGACCAAGGCTTTTGTATTCATCGACTACATATTCCTCTGCATCTTCTTTGGTTTCCTCTCTTTCCTTCTCTACAAGATGCTCGGCTTCTGATTCTTTGTGATTTCCTTTTAATCAGGTGATTTTTCAAAAGAAAACCTCAACCTCTTCACTCTGTTTTGCGTAAGATTCATTTCTGTGAAATTTAGGTGGAGAGTTTTTAAGATACGATATGGGCAGCTAGGGTAGCATTCACAAGAGTTACAGATGCCAAAAGGGTTGATTAAGCAATGACGTCGATGTTTGTCTGCGTGAGATATAATTTTTAGCATCTATTTTGCTTCAAATAATGTGAAATTTTCATTGAGACATTGATAAAAGAGAAAATGAAAATAAGGATGTAATGCCTGTGAAATTGTTTAAATATTCTTTATGAATCTTCCTTGCATGTGGATTCATTAAAGGTATTTTGTCTTTTCATTATCATTCCTGGCATTTCAATTACATGGACGAAATGATTTTCCTCAATCCCTTAGTTTTATGGAAATAAGAGAGTTCACTAGATACGGTTGGCCCCAAAAATGAAAAACTAACTAAATGAGATATGACTTTTCTACAACTTTGGTCTGGCAGATAGCTAGCCTACATTTTGTTGTCATTCTCTAGAATGTGAAATTTGTATTTGGTAGTTGGTTTAGTCCATTACCTGCATGCTTAATCCATCGGTTAATTTATTTAATAAAAATTTATTGGAAGCTTTCAAGTGTCAGGTGCTGATGGTAAACAAAACCGATGATGCTCTAAAATGTGGTCTAAATGGAGTTTGAGCATCTGGATTTTTAGCTAGCATCAATTGGGATTCATTTAGAGAAACAAAACTTTTAGTTTTCCATCATGGAAAAATCATTGGAAAAAGCTTCCTTGATTTTGTTTTTAACCCTTAAATCTCAATCTTTTTCTTTTTCTTTTTTTTTTTTCGGTGTTTCACCAGAGGAATTGAAGGATATTATTCTCCTTTTCTACTTGATGATGATATTTTTATTTTTAAAGAACCATATAAGGCCAACTGAGACCATATAAATGCTTAACAATGGAATCTCTATAACTATGGGGCCTTAGAGTATTGCCGGTGCTGATGAAGATAAGAATTTTTGAGCTCACGGCCTAACATATTATTTCTTGCAGTACATTCAGACTCTCTGCTTAGTATTTAGTTTTATGTCAGTAATATCAATTTAATTAACTAAGAACGTTTTTGTCTTTTTTACAGGATTCACTTTACCACATATCAAGGTATTTCATGTCAGATTAAGTTCCAAGTTTCAAGGCATTTTTGGATCTTGGTTTGGTTAGATTTAGATTATATGCTTCAACATTTATGATATATTTTCTTACATTCAGAAATTATGTCCATTTAATTGGAAAAGGAAAATGGAAACTGTTTTCTGCACTTCTCGGCACTGTAAGTTATGATACTAGAATCTAAATAAAATTATAAGAAAATTATCTTACTGCTTTTAATTTATTCTTTTTATGTATTATAATTTATATCTCACCTTTTCAGTTTCTCTACTTCTGTCAAGATAAATAAGTAAAATCTCTACCTATAATCTTAAGGATAGCTAAGACAATAACTGCTGCTCTAGATGGTTTCTTTTTCCGCTAAATTGGTCACATGTTGGATTTCTGAGACAATAAAAGTGCACTTTCGATGCCTTGAGAAGTTAAATATTTGGTACTAAAATCTGAGAATAACTGCTTGGTTTGAGATTGTTTTCTTAATTTGAAAAGATTCTTCCCTTGCAATTTTTTGATTGATAGCTTTCAATTGAAAGGACATTGTCAGAGTTGTCAAGAACAAGAAGAAGCAGAATTATTAGGATGATTTATAAAACAGCTCTAAGGAGAAACCAAATACTATAAATTTGTCATCTGTGGTGATGGGGAACTGGGGATGGCTCTTATTTGGAAAGCATGTATGTTCGTAAGTTTTCTGTTTTGCTTATATATTTATAAGCAATTTGTTAAGTCAAAACATATTTTGTTACAGGTGATGGGTGAATTGTTTGTGTGATCAATTATGTATCATCTCATTTTAGATAGAAAAATTCCTTGACTTTAATGTAGTTTTCAACTTATTTATGGGGAAGTAGGACCATCTGTGATGTAAAAGTTAACTGCAAGTATTTAAAAGTTCAAGGCAAATCACTTGGGTTTTTTTTTTCTTTCTTTATTTTTTTTGGTACATTTTTTTCTTTCTTTACTAGATCTGAGAAATTTATGGTTAGCCCTGTGATTAAAGGTTTGAAAGGAATCAAAGCATTCCAAATTCTACTTCTCTACAAGTTCAAATTGCTTTTTAATGGGTTGAATTGCTTCTTTTCTAAATTTATGGTCAATATATAGCCCGCTAAGTCACATCCAACTGTTCTTAATACTCATGATGAATTTGCTACATTTTTCATTTGCCAGTCCTCACTCTTTACTATGAGCAGATTTTGTGAACTAATTGTATGATTGATGTTTCAATTGAGACATGAAAACCATGTTTTATGTTTAAATAAGGTAGATGTCTTTTGTCTATAATTCTATTATTTATTCTGTTCTTTGTTGGCAATGAAAACCGTAAATAGGGGCGTCATTTAAGTATTATTTCTCTTCCTGTTTCAAATGCCGAGACTTATTGTTTGCGCATGCAAACATCGTCCTTATTTCAAATAAATGATTGTGTCTGTTCCTTGCAATCTGAGGTGCCTGTAGGATCCAAAAGAAGAAAACACAGTAGGCCCATGAAGTTGCAAATCAAGATACATAACCATAGAGTAGCAAACATTCAGACTGGAGACTTCATTAGAATGACATACACATACACAATACACCTCTGGCAGACAAGCACGCACGTTCCATCTTTGAAAAAACATCGCAAACATAATAGACAGGGAATTCACTACAAGGACAGTTCTAAGACAACATCTAGAGATCTTACTGAAAGTTTCACATTGCATCTAGCACATTTATTCCTCTATTGATGCCTGACTGAACACACTCAAGGATGCTTTAATGGTGAAGCACCAGGGCCAGTGCTGCTGCCAGGATTTGGCACCTCAAAGCGACGATTTGGGACGAAATTGTCGTCACCACCTGGAACATAATTTGATCCAGTTCTGCCACTGCTGCCAGTGTATGGAAGGTGAGTTATAAAAGCTGGTGGCACCGTCACACTCCCAATGCATGGAAAGACTGCACTGTGGTCATGTGTGAGGAGCCATTCTGGCTGTCTCATGTCATTCTTCTTTGGGTTTTGTGGGAAGTCTCGCTTGGCAACCGCTTGCACAGTGATCACAATTGTATGTAGAGAGTTGTAGATGCAATTGTTGTTGGTAAGGCAATTTCAAGAACCTTTTGTAAGGATAATAGTTTCCACCTCTATGTAGGAAACGTTATCCCAAGGGTACAATACCCACTAGGATGAACTTTAATCATCCAATCAGTATATTCAAACTTGAAAAGCAAAGTGCAGAAATTCAAAGAAGAAAATAAAGAAAACACAAAGTTTATTTGAGAATCAGTTGATATGTTTTTGGGGTTGTTTTATTTATCTACAATCTCCAATGGGTGGCTTTTACACCGGTGTGAAACAGATACAATCATTCGAGGATTATGACTCCTGTATTTGATATTTATATCATATAATGTTTCAAACATTTTGCCCATTTGAGACGGTTTTCTCCGACTCAAATTCAACTTTCAATTTCAGATAAAGTAGTTACAAAAGTTCAACCGCTCCTTTTTCTATCTTTATCTTTTTCTCTTTCTTCCTTGTTCTGACATGCTCTATGTTTCAAGCATTATCTGTCCCACATGCATCCCTTAAAGTGATGTATATAAATATATATATATATAATGTAAATAATAAATATATTATTAAAAAATATCTAAATATATATTTAACAATTCCTCACTTATTTTCTAATAATATTATCAAATCTACTGATATTTTATAATGCATATCTAAAAGTGGCCAAGGCTTAAACCTTTGGATTGAATATAAATTACTAAAAAATCATATTCACATTACACATGGGTTCAAAGTTTCACCATGACAAGTGCATTTATAAAACAAAGGGGCTTGCACTAATCTTGTTCTAGCAAGTACTCTAAGATTAACCAATGTAATCTATAGAAGGTGGCCTCTGACCTTTCTACTTGCATAAATAGACTCATCAAGAATGTTCATAACTTTCACTCCACTAAAGTTAGCTATGAGTCTATTAAGAACTTTAATGTTCAATCTCTTTTGTTGTAAATAAACAGTGATTGGTTAGGTAGAGGACTTTAAATAAATAGTTATTTATTTATTTTATTACCTCCACTATTCCTTAAATAATAAAGTACACTAGAAATGCAGCACCTCGTGCTTATATTTCTTGAGTAATTCATGAGTGAATTGCGATTGAAACAAGCAAAATGTTTGCGATGAAAACATAAGCAAGGAGAGAGAAACAAAGTTTGTGAGCAATTGTAAGTGGAACTCTTTGAGAGTGGTGAAGGCTAGGCTTTGTGATTGAGAAAGTGGGAAGAAAATGCAGGTTCTTATAGATGATGTTTAAAATGAGTTTGGTGATCATCTGGCGGTGAGTTAAGAAAGGATTTCTTTAGGAAAACTGCAGCATACAGCAGATATAGAATATTAACTATTTTTTTGTTTTCTAGTTTTTTGCAGGGTTGGATGAAATATTGGCGGTGAGTTAAGAGAGAAATTCGTAGGGGTAAGGATGTCATAAAATGATAAAACTGATAGAAATGCAGAAATGGAAAGGCCAATAGAAATGGAATGAGTTTTATGCTTTTTTCTTTTGGCCTAACTTAGCTGAATACTATCAGTCTCTTTTTTAGGTTCCCCATTACTTCACCTAACAGATCTTCCGGCTAATGAAGTGTCTGCTCAATTGACAATCCAAACAAAATCAAATCTTTCGCAGGATAGCATTTTACATTTACACTGCCCTGGTATTTACATGATACAATCATTTCATGAGTTTCATTTGAATGACATAGTAATTTGGCGATAATTTACTTTTCATGAAAGTAAGAGGTCTTAGTGTTCAATTAATGACATACTGCATGCATGTCAAGTAGAAAAAAGAATGGTTGCATGTCTAGTAGATAAGGGAATGGTGCATTCAGGTTGACCTAGGGTGGTTGAAGGAATGAGCTGAAGTCACTTCTCATTGTGTAGTTTAAATTGTACCATATTGTATAATATGTATCATTAGATAAAGTGTAAATCCTCTAATATTACCCTCCCTCACCTAATAGCTCTGGTTACTTGACTGTAGAACATATGATTCTTTATAAAAATGATAAATAATGATTTTATATTGAATGAGCATAAAAAAAAAGGTTAAGAAAATGATATAAATGATCAAATTCAGAAATTTAGGACCAAAAGGTTGCTCTTACTCTAGAAGTGTAGAGGTTTAGATCTTCAAATTCTAGCTTTTCAGAGGCCGAAGATAACTTCTAAAAAATGATAAACTTTTTACAAAGCCACATTTGGCCCAGCTTCAGCTTTTGCAAAAGATCATTTCAAAAGCTGGACCCCAGGTACTTCTTGTTTCTTGATTGAAAGACTGAAATCGCAATAATAAGAGCATCTGTAAGGAAGTTAATGATATTAACAGAACTATACTCATCAATTTTAATCCCTTGAGAAAGTTGAGAAAAAGCTGTTTTCCTAAAATTTTTTGGGCAATACAACAGAACAAATGGATGTGGCAATGACTAACCTGCAGACCAGTCACTAATCCAGAAAGATTTGGTTTTCCTGATTAATGAGGGTAAAAAGCCAGATGTAACACCATGTATCTAGATAATGCAAAATATTTACGACGGGTTTGACCTGTCCTCAGAAAATCTTGGAAGTTGAACAAGTGAGTTCACTCGTGTCACACCTTCCAAACCAGACCAATTTTGATCCTCAGCTGCAATATTATTCCCATTGGCTTCAAACTCTTGTTGTATTGTTCCGTAAGTGTCGTTTTCTTCAGATGATCTAACAGTGAAGTTTCTATGCAGTGATGGTTCTGATTTCTGACCATCATCTGATTCAACTCCATTACCAGAATGGTTGAGGGTTGCAGAAGAAAAGCCCTGTTCTTCATTATCGGATTCTGAGTCCATTTTCCCATCCAAAAATAGGCAGACCACCGCACAATCATCCATCTTTGAAGTTGGGTATTTGAGTTTCCACTCGCGAGCAGCTGATTCCACCAAAATCCTAGCAGCTGATGCTCTAGTTGGAGCTGAGGATACAATCTCAACCACCTCTTCATTGCTCAATACATCCCAAACCTGTAATACAAACAAGTTAAAACATGAGAAGAAAACAATAAGACGGGAGGACCAAGTGGAACCAGCTTTCATTTTCATGGCGTGCCATGAAGCCCCAATTTCTTGGTAGTGTTCAAAAGCCTAGAACAAACGAAGCATTAATATGCCCTTAGAAAAGGTTTTACCAAATATTTCTTAATGGCAAATGTAAGTTACATCATCTTAGCTAACATCATTTTTCTGTTGGAATTCTTGCCTTGTCCATATCATTTTTCAGATGGAGGTTATGTCAACTGCATAGCATTCACAAAATTTACAGTTTCTCCATAAAAGGAATGAAATTTTAACCTAAAACAGATTCCAGAAAAGTGAAATTCTATTTATCCCAACTCAATCCATTTTTTTATGTCCCTCTAGAATACAGTATGGTCATTCTTTGATTCTTTCAATATATTACGGGCACTACTGAGGCAAACAAATCAACTCCCTTTTAATCACAAAGATTAACAGGCAATTAGAGAAAAGAACCATCCACCTCTCCCTCCTTTCTTTGAAAATGTTTTCTTCCTAAGTTCAAACATTCACAGTATATACCAGTTTATTCACTAAACACTAACATATTTTCTCAAATGATATCAGCTCCTTCCAATTTTAACCTATAATTTCACACTTAGGCAAAACAAATGTCAAAGCATTTTACAGATATCATTAACTTAAACCAGCTGGATTCGACAAGACTAATATAGCCAACCCAAGTAGCTTGGACCTAGAGCTATATGTTAAGGACTCCGATATCTAGCACTGAAAGGATGAGCCAAAAACCCCTGTTCCAGCACATAAATCAATTAAATTCCGTCACAAAGGAATCCAACATCATCTTTTCCTCTTATTGTCGAAAAGGCTAAAAACCCTCTTGAACAATTTCTATAAGCCTTTGGCCAAGAAACTCAAAAAGACTCCAATATCTTTTCGCTAGGCTGCCTGCAGTAGACTTCTTTTTCTTTGGTGGTTCCATTGAACAGAAAATATTAATATTAACAGTTAACTTCGTATTTGTTTTGCCCCTCTAGTTTTGTGTATAATTCTATTGCTATGCACCACTAAAGCAGTGAAAGAGTAGAGTTGCATTAGAGTTTTTTGTACTACAGAATGTCAATCTTAAAAATTAGTGTGTCCTTATGCAATGTCTTGGTACAGTAAACCTTACACTTCCAACTCATTACATCACAAACCCAGTAAAGTCTAATCCTCCTCATAATGTCCCATGGCTCATAAGTGAGAGCGGATGACTATTTATGAACCTCTTATGAAATCGATTTCAAACCACCATACACACTTGACTTGCTCCTATGATAGCACTGCTATGCTATTCTTAATTTACATTCTATCCTTATTCTGAGGATTACAGGACATAGTCCACAGAGTTCCTTTAGCCAGAGTCATCCAGTAAAACACAAAACTTCCTAGAAAAGGAAATTATGGGACTTCACCACAAACAAAATACAGCCGAAACCCCAAATCCAGCCCTCCAAATCATCAATCGAGACAAATGACCCATTATTTAACGGTTGACACCATGAAAAGCTGACATGTGATGATGTGAGCCATTAAATAATGGGTCATTTGTCTCAATTGACAATTTGGAGAGGCAATTTGCCCCCCCCCCCCCCCCCTTTTTTTTTTATAAGGGGCAGATATGTCCCTACCCTGGGGTGGATTTGGGGGTTTGGCCAACCAAAAACTGGTATTAATCTCTGTAGAGTCTTCTAGTTATTCAGCTAGGTGTAGATTTAGTTTTTGGATGGTCACTCTTTTAATTTACTTGCTTTTGGGTGCTTCCAGGTTTCTTATCATATTTTTATTGACAGCTAAGATATCTAACACTTCCACATAAAAGTCCCCAGGTCAACAACCTTGTATATCCACAAAAATGAAGGAAACATTGGAAAGTAACCTTCACCCATGGAGAATGAACAAATATATGTGTGTGTGTGTGTATGTGTGTATCAGAGGTGAAAAACTTACCCCATCAGAGGCAAGAACAATAAACTGATCTCTTTCTGTGAGGATTCGGTGGGAAAACTCAGGTATAGAGATCACACCATATTCCTTCAAACAGAAGTCCCCAAAAGCTCGAGCCATTGCTAGCCCAGGGGCATCATCAAATGGCAACCACACTCTTGGTACTTCAGGCTCATCTTGCAACGCAAAGACCCTACCTTTGCACCTTTTAATCCTTTCAGCTTCCCCTGAGGAAATTTTAAATTTAACTTCAATTGAATAATACCCCTTTAAGGATGCAAACAAGCAAAAAACACCATCAGCATGAGACATACTTGGCAAATCAGGCTTAAGATCAACTGTTAACTGGATTGCCACCATTGAATCATTCTTGTCCTTAGATCCCATAATTGCTCGTGAATCACCAATATTTCCCATGAAAAGATTAGATCCCTAAAATCATAAAGTTAAATGCTTAATAGACATGACTAAGAAAAGGCTACAATAAATAGAAGATGAACTGTATCACGGGATGCTCTTTCATACCTGTTTCACTATAGTTACAGCAGTGCTACCACTGCAAAAGCAGTCCAAATTGGGATGGGATCTCAACTCTTTATCCATGGCCTTGTACGCTTTTAGGAATGATCCTCTCCATAAAGTATTTAATTTATCCTCAGCTGAACCATCTTTCTCATAATCTCTGGCATCTGATTTCCTCAAATTCCCTTTGAAACACGCTGTACCTGACCCATTTTCCCTTGATTGATAAGAATGCAAGAAGGAAAGCAGCTTGAGTGGAAGGGCATCCCTCACTTTGCGAGCAACAAGATGACCATGTGGACCATGGCCATCAAAGACCCCGCAAAAAGTCAAATCTTCTGACATGAAATCCTGTAAGAATTCATAAATGTTACCAAAAATATAGGCTTAGAAATTGTAACCTAAATATAATTGAAAATTTTAAAATGAAATCTGAAGGTTACCTCCCATACAATCATGGCATCCTGGTTAATTCCTTTGCGACCTTGTTGAGTGAATACACAAGCGCTTCTGCTCTTTCCATTTGTGAAAATCCTGTTGGGTATTGAGGGTAAATGCTGCACTGCGACACCATGGTCAGAGAATGTTCTCTTTTGCCCCCAGAATCCAATCCCCAAACACGCAGGTGGAACTGCCTCCCCATTGCTCCGGCTACTATAATTACTCAGACTGCTAGTCGAGACACAACCCCCCATTTTCTCTAATTCAGATAGAAGACATCCAGTATGGTCAAAGGACAAGGTTCCTCCTTTAGGCAGAATAGATCTCAAATGCAATTCTGTAGTTTCCAGAATAGTCAACCAAGCAAAGACTATCTAAACTCCAAAGATTCTCATTCACACACATCAGCACTGAGGCCACAATACACCACAATGCATAACACCAGGTGGCTTTTAATCTTAGTCAAATACAATCCATCAGGTATTACGTGTATCAATACTGAAACCAGGTGAAAAAAACGAGAAAATTAGTTTATTGCATTGTTTATTGTACCTTCCGAGAATTTAGAAAATGGCTGCATGTAAAAATACCTCAACAACCTGAACACAACGCAAATTTAAGAAAAAAAAAAAAAAATCTTACATGTGAAATGGGAATAGAATATACTTAAAGTCGGTCCCAAGTGGCCAGGTTTCATGTAATTCAATACAAAAACTACTTATAAATAAACGAAGTATATAAAGACAGCAATACAAGATAATCCAGATCATGTAAACCAACAAAAAAAAAAAAAAACCAAAAGTAAAGGCAGACCATGAAATTTCATACAAGAATTCCAATCATAATAAACCCATTTCCAGCTTACCAAAAAGAAAGAGAATAAATTAAGCAAGCTCACTCCTTTTATATGCACAAAGTAAAGATACCACATCAAGATCCCCATCAACAAAGCAAACATGCAACCTACAGCATATAAGAAAAGAAAACAGAACCCTTTCTTTCTCTCAGAAAGCATATATGCGTAGAAATTATACCTTGTAATGCTTAGAAAGTGGGATATTGAAATTTGTAGAAGATGCAACCTTTACCTTCAAGGAGAATCAAAAGGGAGAATTATACAAAGAGCAAAGAGCCAGAAATTGATCTCTCCAAGCCTCAATCTAGCTTGCAGAGAAAACACATAATAGGAGAAGAAAGAACAGGTTTAGAAATCATGTATTGCATTACTTGGAATTTGACTGAGAAAAAAAAAAAAAAAAAGGTGACCCCAACAAAGTTGAAAGTTGAGAATGTCAATTAAAAGAAACCCATGAAGAGAAAATTCAAAATTTTCATTTTCCTGAAAACCAAACTGAGCTTAAAATCTAGAGAGAGAGGGGAGGAGAGAGAGAGAGGGCGAAAATGCGTTCAAACTTCGATTGCCGAGTTGAGGGAAAACTAAAAGAAGAGATAAAGCAAACGTGGGAAAAGCAGAAAAGGACGAAACAGAGGAATGATTTTGTCAAAACAGAATCAAATGCACAAAAAGAAAAAAGAAAAAAAAAGAGAGAGAGAGAGAGAATACATCAGACCAAATGTAATCAACCCAATAAAAAAATCTCAAGTTTACTGCTTGCAGATTCAAAAGAAAGGAAAAACAACAGCAATTTAGAGAAAAAGCAAGAACCCACTGAGTCGAAAAAATTCCATTCTTGGAAAATGTAAACAAATCAAACTCTTCCCTTTTTTTCAGCCACCAAAAGGAGGAGAAAAGAAACTTACGATAGTGTGTTCAATGCTACCATTCAGCTAAAAATAACCATAAACCCAAAAAAAAAAAAGAGTTATAGAAGAAATGAGAATGAAGATTGAGGAGCAATTTGATGTTGGGAAGACTGAGAAAGGCAGAGAAAGTGTAGCGAACCTTTTGTTTTGGCAAATTTGACTCTCTTTGGATCAGAGAAGCAGGGGAGAAGTGGAAAAAGTTGAGTGCGTGTATTCATTAATGCAACGAGAGGGGATAGTCGAACAGGGAGGAGAAACTCAGGAAAGTCTATAGAGTCAGCATCGCAAAACAGAGGAAGAGAGGGAAAGGAATATGAATTTTTTTTTCCTCTTATTTTCGTTTCAGTTTTGTGCTGTTTTTTTGGCGGACCATATACACTCATTAAAAAAATTGGAATAATTATGGAGACAAGGATTGTAACTTTATAATTTTTTTAATTTAATATGTAAATTTGGTTAATTTTTAATTAAAGAGGTAAATTTTTAATTTTTGTATAAAAATATTAAATTTATTTTTTATTTAAAAATATTAACTTTATATTTATCATGTCA